ACTTGCTAATTATGCAAATATATGCTCTAAAAATGATATGACATAATCATTAAGAGATAAAGTTTCATATAGTCAATTCAAGAACATAGGTTAATTAGTAAGTTTTTGAGTTATAAACCAAGTCCTTAAGTGTGGAAATATTTTTGTCACTCCTGTAGTACAGGTGTTATATAATATACTAGGTAGATTAACCTCTATAGAGATATGGCTATTGCCAATTTAAATAATAAAGAAAGGATTGCTGAAACAAAAAAAATAAAGATATTACATAAAAAAAATACAGTATATGATTTTATTGGTTAACTTCAAGCCTTTAATTTAATTTTTATCACATAATATCCAATAGAGGGTTTTAGAGTTAATAATTTGGCATCCATTTTAGATAAAATAAGTGATGTATTTGCGTCAAAACATGTAATCATAAATCTTATTTTTTTTATAACATTATAGATATTTATCAAAAAAGCTAATTTTATTAACTTGAGTCAGAATTTTAAAATAAAATAGGATCTTTTAAACTCTCACTTATTTCGAAATAAGTTTAATTATAAACCTCCAATATTTAAATTCAATTTTATTTTAATATGCGAAAAAACTTGTAAACATCATAAAATTATGCGTAACATGCATGATATATAATAAAGTTTACAAATTCCTGAAAAGTTTGCTCATTTCGCAGATTCTGCACAGATTTTAAACACTGAATAACATCACGTGCATAAAAAGCTAAACTTGATTGGATGTTTTTTCATTCCAATTACTAACTATATATATAGTGATAAATATTTAAATAATAAAACAACTTGATTGGTTAATTTGAATTATCTAAGTAGTACAAACATTTGATTAATTGGACCTATTTGGACCTGGTCCAATTGGATTTCAATTGGAAGCTTCCAATTGACAACACTGTTTTAACCCTAAAATGTAAAATATTTTTTAAAATTATGCTAAAATAAATGAACAAAGTAAAGCGATTTGCACTAGACATCTAAAAAAACGCAAGCAATTTTTTACTATTGAAATATATATAAAGTGATAAATAATCCGATCACTACCCCGATCACTAAATTTAAAAAAAATCTTAATAGCTAACTTTTATATGATACTACATATAATTTGATTTACATAGTTGACCGCACACCCTGACCGTACGTGTATAAGCGGGAACGAAGTTTCCTTTAATACCTAACAATTCAAGACATGAAAAAACGACACCACAAGTAACTGATATTCCGTGAAATCAATTGCAACACATTCTTTATTCATCACACATAATATGAATTCGCTTGCAAGTTTTTTGCAATCTCAGGTTCCCATTTGTCACCATTGGCAAGAAGTTTCTCTTTGTTGTATAATAATTCCTCACGCGTTTCTGTTGAATACTCAAAATTAGGCCCTTCAACGATTGCATCAACTGGGCAAGCCTCCTATAAAATGTAGGATTTAGATTAATAAATAATTTTAATTTTCGTGAGTACAAATTAATTAGTACCTGACAAAGTCCACAGTAACTTGTTAATCCGATTTTTATGATATTAGTAATGTGATTATTGAGGAATGTTGATCTTTGAACAAATTAAAATGAAATAAACCCACATGCATTTTGTCATATCAATATCATAACGTGTTGTTCGTCGACTACCATCGTTCCTTACTTCTGCCTCAATTGTAATAGCCAACGCAGGGCAAATGGCCTCGCATAATTTACAAGCTATGCACCTAAATATTTAAAATTGATTAAATTGCAATTCAGGCAAACAAAAAAAATAGAATGGATGAATTTATTTTACCTTTCTTCACCTAAAGATTGTCACCAGATAAATGATATTTTCAAATAAATGCTTTTTAAAGATAAATCAAAAAGCCTACCTGTAGGATATCTTCTTAGAGCATGTTCACCTCTAAACCTAGGGCTCAATGGTCCTTTTTCATAGGGATAAAAAATTGTATAAGGAGGTCTAAAAAACTGCTCTAATACTACCCACATGCCTCTTAACATTTCAGTAAAAAAGAATAATTGTGCTGTTTTATCAAGATAAGTTGGAGGTTTTATTTTTTTGGCCGACTGAACTTTTGATGAATGTGTTGGCATTGGTGGTAGATCATAATTTTTGATTTTTGTACTGGAAAAATTGCGAGAAACTTGAGACACGACTAGGTGAATTTTGAAAGGAATAAAATTAATAGTTTCAAAATAGGCTAGACAGCTATTCACACTAGTTTTTCAGTTCGAGTAATTAATTACCGGGTATCAAAGAAGGTGTATAAACTCTACGAACAGTATTTTGGGCAATGCCACTAAGCCTGAACATTATTGTCATAACGTGAACCAAAGTTGATATCGATTTATCGCCTTAATAGTTACAATTTTTGCACGTGTAGTATGTAAATCATATGATTATATGAAGTCGTACGTCTGGTAATATGAAATTGTACGTACGTACGTCAATTTTATGTTAGAAATTTTAAATTATTCATTCGCATAAGACTTGAAAGAACACAATGAGTCTGGATAAATTTCCTATTAATTTTGGCAAAATGGGTAGAAGTATCTCCAACCTTCAGCAGGTATGCGTGTAAACTACAGGGTTTTAAGGGTTGCAAAGTTAAATGTAATCTTTCATCTATATATTTCAACATATATGTAGTTTACACGGGAGAAACTTGGTAATGTAGAAGATATAACGGGTCTTCCGCCAGAGTATCATGATCTTGAAAGAGTAAATAAATTTAACCTTCAAAATATTTATTTTGGATTGATAGTTATTTCATTCTTGGCTTATTATACCCTTTAATAGCGCGTTGACAACTTGGATAAGGTTCATAGGAGGTTACTCCAAGTAACACGTATTTACACGAATACATCTTATGATTATCCGGACCAAATTCGACAATCAGTTGTAGAAATTTCAAACAATCTTTTTGACCATTTAAGGACTATTGCCCAAAGTCCTACTGCTGATACTCATGACACAGAAGAATCTTCAACATCAACTCAACAAAAAAACTTACATCATGCATTAGCACGAGCCGCAAAGGACGGAGCACAACTTCTTGATCCTGATGATACCCTTGGGACTGCCTTAGAAAAATACGGAACTGCACAAGAACGTATTGCAGAGTGTCGATATAAAATGGATTCAGAAATTTCGTTAAATTTTTATCAACCTTTTTATGCAACTTTACATACACAAATTCAAGGTGCTATGAAAGCCAGAGCTAATGTCAAGTCTGCACGCTTGTCTCTTGATGCAGCGAAAAATAGGTATAAATCTGTTCGGCAAGAAAGAATAGAGGCTGCCAGATTGGAAGTTGAGCAAGCTGAAGATCAGTTCGTGGCTGCCGTTGAAGAGGCTACCACGTTGATGAAACAAGTAATAGAAACGGTAAACATGCACAATTTAAACCATTTGCCATATTTGCTTTGTTTATTTTACATGAGTGAATTTTTTTATTTTTTTTTTTTTTTAGCCCGAACCTCATAGAAATCTTGCACATTTAGTAAATGCACAATTGACTTTTCACATGGAAGCATGCAAAGCGCTTGAAGAGGTTGTTCAAGATATTGAGGAGATGCAGATAAAGCAGGAGTCTTTGTACAGGTAATGATTTTATAAATTTTGGTTGTTTTTAATATTAATTATATTGTATTAACTTTAATCGTCATGCAGACTTAGTCGCAACGACTGAAAAGAAGTGTTAATATCTATTTATTGACATTAATTATAATAGATAAATGAATCAACGGGTCTTATTTTTTTTTTTGAACGCAACTTGCTAATTAATGACTTGCAAATATTATAGTATTACATATAGGTTTTAAATATTATCATAAGATATTCGTAATGTGAACAACTTTTTTTGATTGATTTAGTAATTCTTTTGTCTTACCAATTATTTAAATCTGTTAAACGTAAATTTGTACATTAACTGCGCTTTAAAAATTAAATGAGCCGTTGATTAATTTTATAATTTATTATGTGAGAAAACATTTGTAAATTCAAATAATTTTTCCAGTGTTATTTTGAAAGCTCATAACAAATCATACTAAATTTAAAGAAGGATTAGCCCATTTACAAAATCGGAAAAGATTTTCTAAAAAAAAATTACTTACAAAATATTCCAAGCCCTGACCTATTTCCCAAATAGACAATCCAGTACCATAATCTTCAGCTAATTGAAGACGAGATTCGATAGACTAACAATTATTATACAGTATATGTTTAAAAAGGCAAGATTTGAATACATCAAAGTGCGTTAATCAAACATTACTACCTTCAAGGAAGGATACCATACAACATGGGATATTCCATTCTCTTGATATTGAAAGTAATGTTCACCCAAATTTTCATTCCACTCAATTATAGGTTTATGTTGACGTATTTTTTTAATTATTGTATTACCAGTAATATGTTCAGCACGTCCTTGATAAAAATCCATACCATACATATTCATTCCAAGTAATAATTTATCACGATTCATCATTATTGGAGTAAAAGACAATATATTATCCTCTACCCAATTAATTGGTGCATTTGGACCTGGACTAAAATAAATAATGATGTTAAAAATGGTAAAGTTAGAAATGGTAGTAAGGAAGGAATGGTAAAATTAGAACGAATTAATGAATTAAGATATACGTTTCGTGAGAAGAATAATCATATGTCATAAGAGAGAAACCATCAACAAATTGGCTAAAATCATCAAGTTGGTCAGCCGTAAAGTGAGGTGTTGAGGGCTTTCTTGGGGGTAGTACTAAAATTAATTCCTGATATTGATCATGTAATTTAGCACCTAACCTCATCACGAAATTTCTTAAAAGTATAACGTAGCTAGCTTCAAGAACCAAGCCATCAAACCCTTGTTTTCTTAATGGGAAATAGGCAAGGATAATTTTAAAAATTTAATAAATTTCAAAATTTTTTTTTTATTCCTATGTACCTGCATTCTAAACTTAAAGTATTTACAAGAGAATCAACCTCATTTAATTCAGTTATTAACATCTGATAATCTATTTGAGTCCAATCTTGAAATTGAAATCTTGGTACCACTTTAACACGACGTTGTTCGTCGACTTGACCATTGATTTCTTTAATCCAATCATGATCAACATCGTGGCCACCGGTAAGTTCATATTGATTTGTTGACCTAAAAAAAAGTGATACCTTTATCAATTATCTTCATAAGTTCAGTAGTATATATGCATGCATGCATAAAGTACCTTCGATGGATGTTATACCAAACAGGACTTATACTAAACATATATTACAACAAAAACAAAAAAAAATTGGGCAAATTTAAACAAAAAAAGATATATATTTAAGAAATTGATGTGTGAATTAGATATACTTACTAGTCAAATTTACCCTTAAAAATTTTGGCAATGTCATAACCTAGATAAATTTAAAAACGTTAAAGAAATGTCTAATGATTTTATTTACCAAATTTACGTACCATGATTATTCCAAGGAGTCACATAGGCTAAAGTTGGACCACCTTGAAAACTTTTATTTCCAGCATTTTGAGAGTTATATTTGCTGTGGTTTTCCAAGATGGATTCATACTACATAACGCGCCATATTACTATGCATACATTCTTACAGTATATCTAGTATATATTATATAATTGATACCTTTATTTGCTCTGACGAAAATGTAGCCAAAATAAGAAAACATTTGATAAAAAACCAAATAAAATTAAAATATAATCTTGCGGTATACATAGATTTTATATTTCGTTTAATGATAAAACGATAACGATAACGATAACGCTACGTAATAAAATAACAAATCAGGGAGGGACCTGAACTAGATGAACGGGATCTGAGTTCATAGACAGAAGTTCGTCTGATTGGTTGATTTTCTGTGGATCGACGTAGATCGATTTTTTAATTTTACAAAATTTG